ATCGGCTGCTGAAAGAAAAGATATGGCGATCACGGCTGCCGTGATCCCGGTGCAACCACCTCAGGGTGAGGATGTGTATATACAGAGCATTCAGGAAGTATCCCCCCCCACATGGTGCCCCCGGGTACTACACTCGTCTCTCATCCAGCCGCATCCCATAATGACAAAGTGACAACACAATGGTAGAAATGTCGGGGAATTTATTCTGAGATCTCACACTGCATAAGTATTCACACCCTTTGCAACAACACGTGAATTTTAGCCCAGGTGCCTCCCATTTGTCTTCAACCTGCAGTACATGAGATGGATTGGGGTCCACCTGGGGTACATGAGATGGATTGGGGTCCTCCTGGGCTACATGACATGGATTGGGGTACATGAGATGGATTGGGGTCCACCTGGGGTACATGAGATGGATTGGGGTCCACCTGGGGTACATGAGATGGATTGGGGTCCACCTGGGGTACATGAGATGGATTGGGGTCCACCTGGGGTACATGAGATGGATTGGGGTCCACCTGGGGTACATGAGATGGATTGGGGTCCACCTGGGGTACATGAGATGGATTGGGGTCCACCTGGGGTACATGAGATGGATTGGGGTCCACCTGGGGTACATGAGATGGATTGGGGTCCACCTGGGGTACATGAGATGGATTGGGGTCCACCTGGGGTACATGACATGGATTGGAGTCCACCTGGGGTACATGAGATGGTAATGGCGTGACCCCAGAGCTCCCCGTGTCATGGAGTGACCCCCGAGCGCCCCGTGTCATGGAGTGACCCCCGCGTCATGGAGTGACCCCAGAGCGCCGCGTGTCATGGAGTGACCCCCGCGTCATGGAGTGACCCCAGAGCGCCGCGTGTCATGGAGTGACCCCCGCGTCATGGAGTGACCCCAGAGCGCCGCGTGTCATGGAGTGACCCCCGCGTCATGGAGTGACCCCAGAGCGCCGCGTGTCATGGAGTGACCCCCGCGTCATGGAGTGACCCCAGAGCGCCGCGTGTCATGGAGTGACCCCCGCGTCATGGAGTGACCCCAGAGCGCCGCGTGTCATGGAGTGACCCCCGCGTCATGGAGTGACCCCAGAGCGCCGCGTGTCATGGAGTGACCCCCGCGTCATGGAGTGACCCCAGAGCGCCGCGTGTCATGGAGTGACCCCCGCGTCATGGAGTGACCCCAGAGCGCCGCGTGTCATGGAGTGACCCCCGCGTCATGGAGTGACCCCAGAGCGCCGCGTGTCATGGAGTGACCCCCGCGTCATGGAGTGACCCCAGAGCGCCGCGTGTCATGGAGTGACCCCCGCGTCATGGAGTGACCCCAGAGCGCCGCGTGTCATGGAGTGACCCCCGCGTCATGGAGTGACCCCAGAGCGCCGCGTGTCATGGAGTGACCCCCGCGTCATGGAGTGACCCCAGAGCGCCGCGTGTCATGGAGTGACCCCCGCGTCATGGAGTGACCCCAGAGCGCCGCGTGTCATGGAGTGACCCCCGCGTCATGGAGTGACCCCAGAGCGCCGCGTGTCATGGAGTGACCCCCGCGTCATGGAGTGACCCCAGA